CATTGGACCACAACGTCCACAAGTTTTAATTTTAGATGGCCACGACTGCCATAATTTCGTAGAGTTAATAGATATGGCCATACAAAACCGAATTGAAATTACCTGCTCATACAAGCAATTGGCTTCAACCTTGTGATCGAACTGTATTTAAGCCATTCAAAGTTTCATATAATAAAGCAGCCCAGGATATGATGTCTAATCACCCTGGGGTTATAATAAACAAGGCCAATTTTACAGGACTTTTAACCAAAGCCTGGAATAAAAGTATGACAAAAGCTAATATTGAATCTGGCTTTAAATCATGTGGAATCTTTCCATATAATCCTTTAATTATTCCAGCTGAAGCTTACTTGCCAAACTATGTGTATTCTGAAGACAGGTTAATGACTAATCTCTTTGATCAAATTAAAACAGTTGATAATACAACAATAGTTAAGCAGATTAAGCAAACAAAAGACAGCACAAAAGTACTTTTACCAGATATTGACAATATCTGGTAAAAGTACTTTTGTGCTGTCTTTTGTTTAAAAGTACTACCAGATATTGTTGGAACAACATCTAATTACCAACCCAAGATTTGCTGTAGCAAATGATCACGACTATTTAGCTGAACCAATAGCCGTAGTAGAACATAGGCGTGATGATTTAGTGGAACTAAATATGAAAACTATAGAACTAAAAGCTGCAAGTAATAAAGCTACTAGTAAGTTTCAAGACAGCTTTAGGATTATGTCTTACTCTGAAATTGAACAGCCTATTGATCAGCATGAAGTTGATTTTACAGTTTCAACTCTTTTAGCTTCTGATTTTGCAAAAACTAGATCTTTTGCCCCAAATTTCCCCTTTAAAAATTCGTCTTATCCAGGAGATGGAGATAATGACATTTTGCCATATTCTTATCCAAATTTTACAAAGAGCAAAAAAGCTAAGAATGCAGACAAGTTTTTTGTGCTTACTTCTAAGGAAGCATATGAGTCACAGTTAAAGCAGAAGCAAAAATAAGCTCAAAATGAAAAGGAAAAAAAATGCGTAAATTGAAAAGACTACAAAACTTAAAAATAAAGGAAGCAACGGTATTGTCAAAAGATAATCCTAGAAATAAACCGTTGCTATAAAAATGAATCAATAAAAGTATAAAAAAGCAATGTGTAATTTGATCATGTTGTTATGAATTTTTGTTCTTAGTGTTTAAAAAAGTCTTTTATAGAGTTCACTGAATTCTTTTTTTTTTTAATGTGAATATTATATTCTATGCAAATCTTTTAAAATAGTTTCAAAATCATTTTTAAATAGTTTTAAAATCATGTCCTGAAAACTTATTTTTTTTGGATTTAGGCATTCTTACTAAGTTTATTTGTTGATGAATGCTTAGTATTAAGTTAAGCAATCACTTTCTAACTGATGTTTAAGATCACATCAAAAAAATTATTGGTTCAATATTTAGTAATTCAATTAATTTTAAAATATTTTAAATGCCAACCCATAAAAGTATTATAAAAAGCTTGTTATTTATATTGGCTGTAATTAGGCTCATTCCGCATACGCCTGGCTGAAATTTGGTCATAGTGGCTATATTTTGGTCAAATTTATATACTTTTTGTAATCGTTGTTTTATTAAACATTTTTTATTTAAAATAATTGCTGTAATTATATCCTAAATGCTGAAAGATTTATCTTTCTAGAAATGTATAATTTTCATATAGACCTCTTTGTTAATATGTCTGTAGAAACAATTTTGTAAAGATGTGGCTGGAATTTGGTCACTTTACCCTATTGACCCTCATCGAGAATAGTTCCGCCATTTTTTGCAGAACACATATTTTTTTGTATTTCTAGGGCTTCCCTAACTTTTCTTTCAAATTTTTTACTTTCTACTTTCAATGTTTTTGTTTGTTCCCAAATAATTTCTTTTTTGCAAAATGTTTTATGCAGAGCTAATCCAGATTGATGCTGCTTATTTTCATCAATGCTTTTTTGGTGTTGATGCATTCGTGTGTTTACTTTCATTTTTGTTTCGCCTACATACACTTTTGAACAGTTGCATTTGATTATATATGTTTCTGGTTGACTGTTATTAGGTAATTTTGATTTATTTTTTGATGTTAACAGGGATCTTATGTTTGGGTTTGATTTAAATACCGCTCTGTAACAAGCTTTTCGGAATATTTTTCTAAGTTTTGGCGAGAGACCGGGTACCCATGGTAAGGAAACTACAGGATAGTTATTGATTTCAGATGATACAGAATTGTAATTTTATTTTGTCTTTTGTGTTGAAACTGATGCGCAATATTCATCATTTGAGTTTTATCGTAACCATTTTCAATAAACACGTCGATTAGAAAATTATATTATTTTGCAAGTAAGACTTACTACAGATTGAGTAAGCTCGGTGGAGAAATCCTTTAAAAATAGAGTTCAAGATATTTGGATCATGATTTGAGTATGGCTTAATTTGAATGTTAGTGATAGCATCTTTCCGATGTACTCCGTATTCATACTTTCCTGTTATTTTATTCATAATTTGTATATCCAGATAATTTAGTGTTCCTAACTCGTTTTCAACTTCAATTGTATACTGGATGGAAGGATGTTGTTGATTTAAAATGTATTGGAAATGTTTTGCTTAGTTGAGATCTGGAAACCTTGCGTGACTATCATCGACATATCTTAAGAACAATTTGAGGTTAAGTGCAGGGTTGAAATTTAGTGCAATTTTAATTGCATTGTTTTCATGGAAATGTAGAAATGATTCTGCAAGAACGACCATGAACGAAAGTCCAATGATGAAAACAAAAATGAAAGTAAACACACGAATGCATCAACACCAAAAAAGCATTAATGAAAATAAGCAGCATCAATCTGCATTAGCTCTGCATAAAACATTTTGCAAAAAAGAAATTATTTGGGAACAAATAAAAACATTGAAAATAAAAAATAAAAAATTTGAAAGAAAAGATAATGAAGCCCTAGGAATACAAAAAAACATGTATTCTGCAAAAAATGGCGGGATTAATCTCGATGAGGGTCAATACGTAAAAACTAAGTTTTGGACGCCATTTTTTAAATTTCGGCGAAAAAGAAGCCATTCAACCGCTGACGTCAATAGCAACGTTTTAATTTAAATTATAACGGTTTACTAATTACTGTAACATTTAACAAGCTGAAGAAGCTGGTATCTAAAATCCAGCGAAAATTTCTATAATAATAAAAAAATTATAAGTGTTAAGAGAAATCGTATTTTTGATGTTTTAAAGTAATATATAAATATACTCTCACACAAGATGTTATCCTTTAAATCATATATATATTTATATATATATATATATATATATATATATATATATATATATATATATATATATATATATATATATATATATAAATATATATATATATATATATATATATATATATATATATATATATATATATATATATATATATATATATATATATATATACAATCTTTGAATGTCATTTTCTTGTTATACGTTAAAATATGGTTAGAATTCAATAAATACGGCTGCTTATAAACTTTTTTTTAAATATATATATATATATATATATATATATATATATATATTTTCTTTAATATATAATTATTTCGATATTTTGCTGATCTATTGTAATCAGCGTCATGAGGTATAATAAATAAAAGTTACAAAAATCGTTATAGTAAAAACAAACCGTTAAAATGATAACATTAAAAAGCCAATATATAATACAGAAAAAACTTTTTCTGTATTATAGAAAAAGTTTTTTCTGTATTAAATTTTGGCTTTTTAATGTTATGTTTTTAACGGTTTATTTTTACTATAACAATTTTTATAACTATTTCATTTATAACAAATAACTGACGTCAGCAGATTTTATTAAAAAAATGGCCCCCGGGTTTTGGTTTTTACGTTATCACCCTCATCCCGATTGAGAACCACGTCACCATTTCTCAACTCCTGTTGAACCTGTTGAATGCAAATGTTGAATGCAACCTGTTGATTGCAACTGAGCAATCTAAAACATGCCATAGTAAGTTTGCTCGGTTGCACCCCAAAACATTATCTGTTTGTGAAAATCAGGGTGTCACTCGAAATAAGCAAGGCTTATTTCGAGTGTTCAACAGTAGTTGAAAAATGCTGATGTGGTTCTCAATCGGGATGACGGTAATAACATAACAACCAAAACATGGCGGCCAATTTTTAATAAATTCTGCTCACGTCAGTTAATTGAAAAGTTTTTTTCTGTATTATAATTTGGCTTTTTAATGTTATCTTTTTAACGGTTTGTTTTTACTATAACGATTTTTGTAACTATTTTATTTATTATACCTGACGACGCTGATCACAATAAATAAGCGAAATATCGAAATAATTTTATATTAAATATAAAATACATATATATTAAAAAAAAAGTTTATACGCAGCTGTATTTATTGAATACTAACCATGTATATATATATATATGTATACATATATATATACATATATATATATATATATATATATATATATATATATATATATATATATATATATATATATATATATATATATATATATATATATATATATACATATATATATATATATATATATATATATATATATATATATATATATATATATATATATATATATATATATATATATATTTATATATATATATATATATATATATATATATATATATATATATATATATATATATACATATATATATATATATATATATATATATATATATATATATATATATATATATATAAATATATATATATATATATATATACATATATATATATATATATATATATATATATATATATATATATATATATTATATATATATATATATATATATATATATATATATATATATATATATATATATATATATATATATATATATATATATTATATATATATATATATATATATTTATATATATATATAAATTTATTTATATGTATATATATATATAAAAAGTTTGATAACTCTCATTACTCATTGTCTTGAGGAGCAGTAGGCACACTCAGTATCCTGTTTGATTGAAACTTTCTATTTAATTGAAAAGTTGTGGAGATACCAACAGTTTCACTACAATATAAATAAACATATAAAAATAAAATTGTAATTCTTAAAATCTTTTAAGTTAAAAACTAAACAACAAACATAATAGTTAAAACTTATAAATCAAAATCATATACGTACTAACACGCAACTTAAGGTAAAAATTAAGTATAACTTGATCAATCCATTAGTTTGTGCTTTGATATATTAGTTATGTGGATAATGGTATTTTAGAACTCAAATTTCAGGCTTACAGAAAGAAGACTTTCCAAGTACTCATGCTACAAATTAGCTAGCTACAATTTAAATAACTATATAGAACTGTACCTCGGAGGGATTCAACACTATGTCAATTTTCACAAAAATATACAGGAGAGGAGTTTTAAACTTTTTTTTAACAAAAAGTGTTATTGGCACAGCTATTTATTGAGATGTTGAAATAATATTTTACCCGAACATTCTATTTATTGTTATTTACATCATGCAGTTGTTATAAAATAAAGAAAAACCTTTTTTATGGTTTTTTTTCACTTTTTAATGGACATGGTTTTGTATCCCTCTAATAAAGTTATTGTACTATAAGACCTAATGTGGGATATTCAATAACAAACACAATACTATTTGACTTATAAAATGTATTTAACTATTTTATTTATAATTCTCTTTACAAATACAAATAATACATCTATGTATTTAACTAAAATGGTATTTTAGATGCAAAAAACTCAGTCATCATCAGGTAAGTCTCACTCAGGGTACTCACTAGTGGTATTACTAGTATGCTTTAAGTTTTTATAAAAGTTATGGCAAACTGTAGGAACATATGGTAGTAATGCCAATAGATCATTATACTTTTGTTGTGATATTGGTATTGGACTTGGTGTTACCAGTTGCAAATTGTTTGGCAATGTTTGGTGTCGCTTTCGAAACCTAACAAGGTCAATCTCCTGGTTTTCATCAGCAAAATTACTTTTCAAAAACAGAGTTCCCATGCTGTTCTGTTTTACTTGCAGTTGAACACAGGTTGACAGAAGAACTTGTTCTTTGTTGACATCTTTTTTCTATTAATAAAGGGTGGATTTTCACATGTTTTGACATCGTACAAAGACCTAAAATTTTTAAAATCTAGTTCGTATGCCTTTTACTGTAAAATAATATAGTAGAGTACTTTTTTTTGACTTATTGGAGGCAAGGTCTCGTTTTCTTGAACGGACAGTACTATGCTTCTTTACACATGAAACAATGAATTGCCGTTCTATGTCATTTCCCTTCTCCTTACTCCAGTATGCATTAAAGATCTCCTGTTTGTCACTTTGTAATAATTTTTCAGAAAATTTCAGTCTGCAAGAACAAGGAGGTTTAATAATTCTGGCAGTGACAACTTTACCCTTTTTACTAATATATTCTTCACCTGCAGAATATTTACGTTTCTGAATATTACATGCCCATTCACTGGTATGAACGACACGTTTTTTACTTATCTGTAGAAATAGATTTATTTTTCACTTTTCTCCTTACGCCTACTGTTCCTTGCAAATCTAGGCCTACTTGATTTTCTGCAATCAAATTTAAGTCTTCCTCAAGTAAACGTAGCTCATGTCCATTTGAGTTTGTTTTAGCACTAGTTTTATTTCTACTGACCTCATTTTGTATTTCATTAAGTACAGGGACATCATCACTGGAATCCGTTTCAGAGCTTGCAGTTTCATAATTTTTGTCCGGATCAGAATCATCATTATCTTCGTCGAAACGCAAGTCATCTCCATTATCCTCTTCATTTTCAACATCCTTGCTGTTTGTATGATTTGGTTCTGAAATAAAACAAGTCTTATAATATTACATGTAAAACATAATATTTTGAAGTTTAGGTTCATAACAAAACATTACATTAACTGTTTGAGGTTATGTATATCACATTATAAATAATGAGCAAAACAGTAGCTTACCTGTAGTAGAATCTTTTTTAGAACTTTTCAATAGTTCCATAATCTTTCTCCCACGAGAATTATGGTTCATTATTCTTACTATTACTAAAAAAAAGCAATTATTATGACTTAAAATACATCCAACTATTCGTGTGTTCTTTTGTACCTACCTAGTAAGTTGCAGTTAACTTGTTTCTCCCAAACGCTTTCGGTTAGTTAGCTATGAAGCTTTGACACTATTGTCTGCTGAGAATAGGTTGCCAAGGCGACAGCACGTAAGCGCCGCCTAGATGACACACTGCGCATGTCAACCGATCTCGCCGAAGTCCAAACTACGGTAAGATGAGGAAGTAACTGAACTTACCGAGTACCCATAAAAGAACGCTTGTGGTAAGTTACGGTGACTTCTAGTACCCATAAAAGAACGGGAAAGTGACTTCCAGTTAACCGCAAATCACCAGGTGGGTATAAACGAACGCACGGTATGTAAACTTATCAGAACTGTCAAAAGTACTCTTAGTTCACTAACAATCTGCCAGGCTGTTTAGAGGTATACAACACTATGTCCAGTAGTAATTCACATGCTTCAGAAGGATAAAACACCAAGTCCACATGGTGTTCTATCCCTCTAAATGAAAGTGGACTTGGTGTTGTTTTAAAACATGCTATATCCGGTTCTAACTAGTTTTGGACATAGTGCTCTATTCCTCTAAGAAATATGAGAAAAGCTGATTTTAACTCTGTAATAAAGTCAATATGGAAAAAAATGGACATAGTGTTGTATCGCTCCGAGGTACCAATATATATATATATATACATATATATATATATATATATATATATATATATATATATATATATATATATATATATATATATATATATATATATATATATATATATATATATATATATATATATATATATATATATATATATATATATATATACATATACATATATATATATATATATATATATATATATATATATATATATATATATATATATATATATATATATATATATATATATATATATATATATATATATATATATATATATATATATATATATATATATATAATATTATTTGCTTTAACAAGCGGTTTATTTAATTTTAGTTTAATTTTTCCATAATCATTTCTACTGTTATTGCATTAAACTAGTAATATTAACTCTGAAGAAATTGAAAATAAATTAATTTAAATTAGAATAATGCACAATTATGGATTAATTATGTTATTATTTTCAGCTTATATATTATTAGTTTCTATATAAACATTAACAAATTAAAATGAAACCTTTAAAAGAGTTGTTAAATCAGTAATTTTGCGCATTTTTGCTATCTGCTAATTATCAATTCCTTCTTCAGTTTCTGATAGTTAAAACTTTTGCAATCCTCATTGTCTGTAAAAGGAATAACAAAACATCTTAGCCAAAGCAATGACAAATAAGTTTAATAAGTAAATTATTAAACATTTTGTGAATAAAAATTATAATATCACAAACTAAAATAACAATTCAATAAAATATCAAGCTTTTGGTTCTTCCAACCAAACAGCCTGGCAATATGACATTTTGCTAAAATGTTAACACTAATTTGATTGAAGGTACATCAACACGTAACATTAAATTGTAAGTAAACTTGTTAAAAATGTTTTAAATAAGTTTAGTCGTCTAGTTTTTTAGCTTCTTTGGTAACTTTAGTTTTCCTAATTCTAAGGGATAATATACATATACATACTATATATTTCAACCAGTAAAATTTCAAGCTTGGTAGGTCTTTCATAACATAATAAAATAAATGAAAAATAATGCAAAAAATATTACAATAGCTTTTAGATATAGAGCATAAGATAAAAACAGAACAATTTGAATTCTCTTTTAACTAATTTAAAATTTTAAAGACTCGAACCAATCATCAAAGTACCTTTCAAATATAACAGGAATTACCTTTAATCTTACATTATTTTTAAGCGTTAAATTTTTATAAATAACTTTTCATAAGCCTGAGCAATTAGATTATGATTTATAAGGTAAACATCTGACAGATGTTCAACTATTAGAACTATATCTAAAAGAACAGAATTTGCAGTATATCTTGTGATTTCTAAAAAAATAACTATTAGTTTTAAAAATCACTGCAGTTTTTATTTACAGAAACGATCTTTACAGAAATAGCCATTAACTTAATTGTTATTTTAGGAAAATTTAAACTTTAAAGGAGTAAAAACGTCACAAAAAATCAATTTACCAATTGCATGTGTACTTGGTTATTTCCTGCTGCTTTAATTGTTGTTGCAACTGACTGGACTGTATAAAAAATATTAAATAAAATTAAACACGCAAAACTTAATTAACAATAAAAAATATATTTGCGTGGATTTCAGAAAATTATATAATATAGCTATATATATTATTGCTCAAGCCATGTTAATTTTTCTACTAAATAGAAAATAAATGATACAATATAATAATCTATTATATCAGACATAAGTAAGTTGATTTTCTCTTAAGTAGTTATCATATAAGACTATGAATAGTACTTAAATTTTTAAAAATATGTTTTAGTTTACACTAAAAGCCTACACTAAAACTAAAGTTCCATTATATAAAGATTCAAACCTCACAATTTTGATTGACACTGTCTGCACTAAAAGTATAAATATAATAACATTGCTATTCGATCAATATAACATCTATCATAATTTATGAAAGATGTTATATTGATCTGTTTATGACATGAACAAATAGATGTTAGGTCTTAATGTAAACAAAAATAATAATTTTGTTTAGTTATTTAAAAAGTAGTTACCATATAAAATGCATAAAAAAAACTAATGCATTTTAAGTGGTAATTATTTTTTTTTAAAAAGTAGAAAAATTAAGATGCTAAAAGTTAACTATAGACGTTCTTTAGCGTTGTTAAAACTGCTATATTAGTAGCTAAAAAAAAGGTTTCAATTTACCGACTGATTTGGTCGGTAATATATGTCACCTTTTGAGATATGTCGCCGTCCTACACTCCTCCCACACCTACTCTTCACGCCGGCCTTGACTACATTTAGCCATCAATCGTTTTTAAAAGGAGTAGGAGATTTTGAAAACTGTTTTGATCAAATATTAATTAGGGCAAAACAACTCTCATTTTCAACCTTCCTCAATTTGAGAGGATTACAAATTTTATATGGATAATACTATGAAACACAAAATTTGTAAATAAATGCAAGTCTTGATGAGAATAGTACAAAAAATACTTTATCAACTTAGTGCCTCTCACGTTTACTGTGGGAGAAGGGGAGGTTAATGAAGTTTAAAAGCTTTTTCGTTCCCAGCCTTTAATCATTGGAATTTTGTTCAAAGCATCATTATTGACAAATGTATAAACATACTAATGTTTAGAGTTTGCTCCATGTCTGGAAGTTAACTTCTCAATTACCAATGAATCCTGGTTCCGTCACTGATCGCAATGATAAGGTTTTGAAAAATATTTTAAAACTAAATCATTTAACAATCACAGCAGAACACCAGCAGTAATAAACCATATGAAAAAAACAACGATAATAAGGTGTAATAAAGTAAAAAATAAAAACTATTTATATTAGTAACATCAGAATAACTTTTCTATAGTTTACTTTTGCAAATAATTTCCATTGATAAGTAACTTTTTTATTTTAGTTACATAATATTTAGCTTATTTTTGTAAAAACAAATTACTTCTACTACGCACTCTAAAATCAACTTTATATAATTAAATTTTAGATGCAATTTAGTTATTATTATTATCATTTTTGTTGATAATATATATTATTATTATTATTGCAATTATTAGTGCTATTATTACTGTTATTATCATTGCTAATATCATTATTATTATTACTTAATAACTCAATTTTAATTATGAATATAATAATTATTTTACATTTAATGATAACTTTTTTACTTAAAAGAAATAAAAGTTCTTTCCCAAGTTTAACCTCAGCCCATGATTTTGTTAAACCAAGTGTGTTAGCTGTTGTCGGTCTAAAACTATTTTTAGGGTTGAAATAAATGTTGAGGGTAAAGAAAAAGACAGAATCCTAAAAATTAGTTAAATTTGAGACGATTCCCTGCATTTACTCCCCCTAACAGTCGAACGTTGCATGTACTTTTGATTATGTAGGCGTCCGCGCTACTAAAAGATTTTATAAACGTCCGCGTTCACTGAATGCGAAAATATACATTCCACTTTACAAAACTAATTTTTTTTTCAATAAAATTCATTTATTTGAAAAGTATTTTTTTTTTATTCGAAAATTATTTACCTTTGAACAACTTTTTTTTTTTTTCGAAAATAATTTAGCTAATCAAAATGTTTTTTTTTTTTTTTTTGAAACTAATTTAACTATTCAAAACTCCTTTTTTTTTTTTGGAAGTTTATTTAACTTTTCGAAATTTAAATTAAATTTCGAAATTAATTTAGTATATATATATATATATATATATATATATATATATATATATATATATATATATATATATATATATATATATATATATATATATATATATATATATATATATATATATATATATATATGTATATATATATATATATACATATATATGTATGTATATATATATATATATATATATATATATATATATATATATATATATATATATATATATATATATATATATATATATATATATATATATAAAATATAATAGATAATACTTAAATAAAAATATTAAAAATATTTATAAAATATAAATTTTTTTATGAAAATGAAAAAATTAAAAATGAATAAATAAAAATTGACATAAAATAAAAATATAAAAACAAGAATATATATGAAAAATATAGTAAAAATAGAGAAATGAAAATTGCGATTAACTGGGAAAAAAAAAAAGCACCCGTAAATCAAGCACTATTAGTGTATATATATATATATATATATATATATATATATATATATATATATATATATATATATATATATATATATATATATATATATATATATATATATATATATATATATATATATATATATATATATATATATATATATATATATATATATATATATATATATATATATATATATATATATTTATATTTATATATTTATATATATATATATTTCGAAATTAAAATGAGTTTTAAAAATTAAATTTAAGTTTTCGAAATAGTTTTAGCGATTCTATTGTTTTCAAAAGTTTTTACAAAATCCGAAAAGAAAAGTTTTAAAAGACTACAAGGTAAACTTTGTTAACAATATATCTAGGCACCGTTTAGACTTTTCAAAAAATAAGGTAGAACAAAATACTAAAACAATTTTATCAAAAATCAATCGTGAACTTAAAAGTAAACTTTTTTTGAATCAATAGAAAAGTATGAAAAAATTGAAGACTGTTTTAAAAAATCACCAATAAGCATATATTCAAGTTTCTTGTTTTTGGTGGTAACGATTTTACCCATTCATTAAAGAAAACACAATCAACAAAGCTATAAACTTTGCTGATCATCATATTGTTATTAAAAGCAAAGGCAAATCATTGATAAAGCATGCACGAAAATCACTTATTTTCAATAACGACAAAGAATGGATTAATAAAAGGTTCGGATTATTTGATGTCACAATGGTGGCATTTGATGGTGTTGAATTTTGCGAGTATTTCATTTTATACTGTGTCAAATTTCACAGCATTATAACAAAGAAAATTTCAGTCTATATCGTGACGACGGTGTTGCTGTATTTAAGAACAAAAACATTCAGCAAATGAATAAAATCAAAAAAAATATGACAAATATTTTTAAAGGAAACAATCTTTAAATCATCATTTAATCTAATATAAAAGTTGTTTACTAATTCAATTTTACGTTAAATTTAAATAACCATACGTTCCAACCATATTTTAAACCTGATAATCAAAAAAGGTGCATCCACTCTAATTCTGACCACCTTTCAAACATAATTAAAGTAATCTTTTGCAATATTGAACAAAGATTATCTTTGATGTCAGTTAATGAAACTCTCTTTATAAATGCTGCTCAACCATATAAAGAAGTTTTAAAAAGATCGGGATACAAGCAAAAGCCTACCTACCTACCACAGTTAATCCTAAATCAAATTAAAAAAAAAAAGTCTTAAACGTATTTTCATTTTTTACTACCCTCCATTTAGCTCAAATTTCAAACAAAAATTGGACACCGTTTTCTAGCCTTAACTGATTTTGCAGCCGTCCATAAGCTACATAAAATACTCAACCTAAAATTTATTAAGATAAGTCACAGTTGCATGTCTAAACAAAAGTCTATCGCAAATTTTCATATTTTTAAAAGTTTGCTTAATAAAAATCAGTTAATAACAAACCAATGTATCTGCGTAGATCTAGCATTTTTCTCTTTGAATAATTAATGTATTTTAAAAAAATTATATACAACTTTTGTAAGACCACATCTTGAGTTTTCTATTCAAGCATGGTGTCTTTATCTCAAATAAAACATTTTAAAGTTAGAAAAAGTACAAACAATAGCTACAAAATTAGTACCAGTTTTGAAAAAAATACTTTATTAAAGACGATTGCTTTTAATAAAATTAACAACACTAGAAGAGCGTCGTTTTAAGAGGAGATTTAATTTTTCAATATAAAATACAAAAAGGTTATGAAGAGATAAGTTCGAAAAACGACTCAATATGTAAAGCTCAAATAAAGCATACAATTTTTGTGATTATTAGCAAAAGTTAACAAAGGCGTACTGTAAGAGTAATGCTAGATTTAATTTCTTTTCATGTAAAGTTGTTGAAGCTTGGTATGCTGCCATTTATTATAGAATGGTATACTGCCATATGTTAGAGAATCAATACCAATTGATCAATTCAAAAATAAATTTGATAAATCTAACTTTTGAAAAAATTATTTATTAAGCAAAGCTAAATAAGGGATGTATACATTAACAAGTAAACAATGCTATTATAAAAATATTTATAGCTTATACAGAACAACATCTTCTGTTATTGTGTTCTACTATTAAATTCATGAATTGTCACAGTGTATATTAATATTATTAATGTTTGCCTAACAATATTGACTACTAAGCAACCGTAAATTTTAGTGATCATGATTATAGTTAAGAAGTATATTTTCAAAATAGTCATACATCATTTAAATTAAGATACACAACTCATATGCATCATTTACATATCATTGCACATTTCATACACATATCATGCACATTTACATATTATATACACAATCATTTGCATCAACTAAGTTTAGAAATGACTCAGATCTCTCTAAGGAAAAATGGATCTTAAAAGGCCAAACATAAAAATTATTATAAAATGGAAAATTATCAAAAGCTGTACACCTTATATTCTAACAACAAAAATATGCCATCTTTATCGATTCGAAAAATATGTAATTTTATCACATTATGGTAAACACCTTCTTAACAAAAAAAA